ATAATACTACTAATAGTATTGACTTGTACCTTGTCTTTCAATTTGTCCTTTAAATCTGGTCTCCATAGTAAATTATCTAGTACAATAAGTTGTTGCCCTTGCATATACTCAAGTTGGATATCAAAAAGCTCTAATTGTTCTTTTCAATGATGTTGCTACGATTTCATGTTCTCCAAATATAATTTATACAGTAACGATCAATGGTCAGTCCAAACAACCATTGGCTTTCTCAATAGATAGTATCATCACACCTTTATGGTGTGTATAATTACTAATTTTTCTCGATCACATGCAGAGTAATTGCACTCTGTCCTTCTGAGCTTGCGTAATTTATATGCTATAAGTTGAAGGCCTCTATTAAAATCTTATTGAAGGACTACTTCAATAGCAAAGTTGAAAGCATCAATGTCAAGCATAAAAGGGAAATTATAATCATATGGTTGCAATATTAAAGCAGTAATGAGTACTTCTTTCAACTTATCAAAGGTGTTTTGTTGCTCTAGTTTCTATTTAAACATGACATCTTTCTCCAATAGGTTTGTCACTAAGGTGGAAATATGAGCAAATCATTGAACAAAACGATGGTAGTATCCAATAAGGCCTAAAAATTAGCAAACTTCAGAAGCATCGTTGGAGGTTGGCTAATCCTCCACTGCTTTCACCTTATCTTGTTCTATATGAATACCTTTGGAAGACACCACATGCCCCGAAAAATTGATTTTCAACTTCCAAAGTTCATATTTTGATTGCTTACAATAGAAGCGACTATCTTGCAGCCAACGTAGCACCTCTCGTAGGTGTTGCTCATACTTTTCAAAGATTTTACTATATATTAGGATATCATCAATGAAGACCACTACATACTTGTCTAAAAGGTCTTAAAACAATCTTTTTATGTAACTCATGAAAGAGGCTAGAGCATTGGTGAGACCAAAGGGTAAAACTAGCTATTCAAAATGTCCATGGCTCATACAAAACACTGTCTTTTCCGCATCCTTTCTTGCAATAGGTGTTTGTCAATAGCTGCTCTAAAGATCCAATTTATTAAAGATGGTCGTATCTCAAAGTTAGTGAAAAACATCATCCACACATAGAAGTGGATATGCATTTTTAACAATCTGCTTATTGAGACCTCAATAGTTAATGCAAAGGCAAAGTCCACCATCATTCTTACGTGCAATAAGTACATGTGCTCCCCATAGTGATGTATTTTCTCAAATGAGGCCTTTCTTCAAGAGTTTGTCCAATGTCTTTCGTAGTTCTTCAAGTTCTTTTGATGTTAGGTAATAAATTAATTGACTTGCTGGTTTGACTCCAAGCAATAGTCCTATTTGAAAGAAGGCACCTCGATCACGAAGTATGTCATTAGGTAGTTCAGTTGGAAAGACCTCATCATATTTCTGTATAAGTTGCTCTGCCTGTTCTATCCTTTTGGTTGTCTTTCCTACCACTTATACGAGGTTTGGAACCACCATATATACCGGTTGCTTATGTTATAATTGCTTCTTCATAAAAGTCGTCCCTATAAGTAAGTCTTTGGTTGCACGTTGTCTTATTTCTTCACTTGATGTGGAAGTGCAAAGAGCTACCTTGCATCCTCCATCTTTAAAAAAGATTATCTTTACTACCTAATCAATTTTTTTTATTTCCCATCTCTAGCCATGGCATCCTAAAGATAACACCATATCTTAGCTTTGTCACCTTGAATCTTTTTCTTAAGGCATATGTGTTTGTCAATCTCAAGGTTTCTTCTTCATTTGTCTCACTCAATATGTTCTCTTGATCATCTGCAAGGTATATACTTCCTCCCTTGATTTCCTTGGTTTTAATTCTAAGCCAATTGGCGATTTTAATTATGATGTAATTTTTTGTAGAGCCACAATCTATAGGTACTTGACATGGTTGATTTCTTAATAGTCTTGTTAGATGCACTAGTCAATTCTTTTTATAGTTGTCCGAGGTTATGCCATTTGTCTCTGAGAGACAATAGCTACTCCCAATATTGGCCTCTTGATGCCTTTATTAGAGAGCCTCATTTTCTTGTTCTAATTCATTATCGGCTTGGTGAGTTTGAGATTGTGAACCGCCTTGTCTTGTTGGTACTTGTACTTGGACGTTTAGGGTAACCTCTGATCTAATGGCCTAGCTCCCATCAATAGAAACACAATCTTTTTTGTACCAATATTTGTCATCTTTGTCGTATCTATGATTTTTATAAAGTATCAATCTCTATTGGCATTGGTTGTTGTACTATAATATTAGATATCGGCATAAGACTTCGTGTTATAGGTTGTGCTCCATGATTTTTAAAATCTATAGCATTGACCTTCTTTACAATCCAAATTGCATCTTCGAATGTTTATGGATCCTTTAGCTCCACCTCTCGCTGGACTTCATGTTTCAAACCTTACAGGACTCGATCCATCATCTCTGCCTCTAAAATATTGCCAATTTGGAAATATTAGAACTTGAATTGAGAGACATAATCTTGCATTAACCTAGCTTATATAAGATTTTCTAATTAATCGTATGCTATCTTTTGTGCATTGATAGGCTGAAATTGATTCTTAAACTTGGTCTCAAACTCCTTCCAATCACAAAATCCACCTTGAGCTCCATAGCTTTGAAGTCAATGTTACTACCAAATGGATACCACATCCCTTAAATAGTTGGCTGTATATATAATTCCTTCATTGGTATTTGCCTCGGATAGTTAGAGATATTGTTGCATGTTGAAGAACCATTGACATACATCTTCTTGTCTTGAAGTTCCACAGTATGTATTAGACTTACTCAATTTCAACCTATTAGATGTCGACTTTCTTATCTTCGAGGCTTCTATTTGTCCTTGCAAAGTAGCTATCTAGCCTAAGAGGTGTTGTATTTTAGCCTCCATTTGGGATTGCTTTGCCATATCTCCCATACTGAAATTTTCTATTGAACTCTACTATTATAATATCTTTTCACTTCCCGATTTACTTTTTAAGAGTAGCTTATAGTAGCCTCAACACAATATCCAATGTGACCACAAAAACTGACCTTAGACTATATGATGATTATTGATATGCTACCAAAAATAAATAGTCTAACTCTCGCTTTGTTATCAATGAAACAGGACCACACTATCTCAAAAACCCAAGATCCTTCTATTCCACAATAATATAAAATCTTATCACAAAATAAGACAAAATAGATTAGAACTAAACTGAAGGGAATTACACAAAGTAGGACATGAAAGACAAATAAGGAGACGAAATCAGAATAGAACAAAACTGAATACAAGGATGCAAAACCAAACTTTATTAAGAAAAAAGGTTTGAAGCTATACATAACCAAATGCCCCAAAAGGCCCTTGCTAGTCCTATTTATACCTTGTCCTACTACCTTGGACTTTCTTAAGTATTCCTAAGTGATGGGCCCCACCTAGATAACTACCTTAAATTCGTTTTTAGAAGGTTCTATGGTGGACTCTACCTAAATAACCGCCCTAAACTCTTCTAAAATGTTCCATGGTGGATCCTACTTCTTTTACTAATCTAATTCCATTTCTAGAAACTTCTTTGGTTCTAATTATTTATATAATTATCTTTTCTATACCCTGTTATAGTAAATGTGGAGGTATGTATGTACGTGCATATAAGCATCATTTGTGTCTAAGGTGTTGAGAAATGATGATGTTTTTATGGTCTTTACAAAACTTTGTGCAAATGGGACCACAACAATTTTAGGATTTATATTCATGTGACAAGACTATTCTAGTTTGAGCATGTATTGAATAAATAATTTTTAAAAATATTTTAAATTATATAGCTTATATTAAATTATTATGGAAAAAAAAAAAAAAAAAAAAAAAAACATAGCTTATGTAGCAAAAAGACTAACAATACCTTCAACACCAAAAGCCACTTTGCATAAGGTAAGATTTCTATTAAAATTTTGTTAGGTTTAAGTATTCTAAAAATTGTATATTTTGCAAAAACATTAGAATCTTTTATGATTGTAGTCAACACATTAACAACTCAAATTTATATTAAAGATAATTTCTTTGTACAAGTCTTAATATATATATATATATATATATATATATATATCTTGATTTTTTTTTCTTGTATTATTTTAATCTAGATATAATAATTATATTAATTTAGCAAATCAGTTTGATGTGTCATAATCTTAAGCTTACAGTAACTTAAGAATTGAATATCTCAAAACTACTCTTGTATGACTAGTTGGAATAGAAAACCATCTAATTATACTTTGTTAGAAATTCTTCCAAATTTGTATCCAATAAATTACCATCCATTAGGTTGAGAATTTTTCCATTATATTTTGTTCCCAAGTTTGAAATGGATTGAATTTTTTCACATATTCAATTTAAAATTTAGTAAGGTATAACATGAAATAAACAATATTACGAGTATAGGAAAGGAGAGAGTTGCTGCAGAAACAGTTCTAAGTTGGAAACCGGCAAACGCAGCATGATCGAAGTCTTGATTTGAATAAACTGCTATACACAATCAACCATCCTAGTTACGAACGTCGGATAGTTTCTCCACGTACTTGCTCACTTTGGGTTCCGCTCAAACCCCCGAAGTCATTGCATTTCTAGTAAAGAAGACCAAGTTAAGAGTTGTGTACAGAATTCTCGCACTCTTCCTCCCTACAGACTACAAGGTGATAGCCAAATGTTGCACAGAAACTGTATTCATAGCTGACTATTCGTAGAGTTTAAAGCCTCGGAATTTGACATTTACGACTGCAGAAATTGCTACTGAGAAATTCTGCATAACACTCAGAACAATATCGATGGAAAGTTCATTTGTCCTCATGTGTAAACTGATTCAAGAGCCACAAAGCTGATACCTGAATAATTTTCGTGTGCAAGAAAGAAGACTTCGTACCTACAATGAAAACACAATAAACCACTCGGGAAGACGTACAAGGACGATTACATGAGGCCTATAGAACACTATACAATGTTCAAGTACTCGATGGGACACTATGAGGCAAAACTGCTTCATCTTGTAATTCTGATTGCAAACGCGTAAATTTGTGTACATTTCTGTATGTAATATTTTGACTATTACTGCACATGGAAGCATGGAAAGATCTTTGTACTTGATCCAAGCTATCTGTCGCGACTATGTACTTGCGGATGAGAGAATCCACCAACTCCCCTGATCCTTATACCCCACAGCTACCGCCAAAAACGGTGTCATCTCAATTACTATCTGAAAACCACAGATCTAATCAACTTTTCTAATCCACTTCCTCCATCTTGGATCCCTCCTCCTCACCGTCGCCTTCCAACGGAGGCACGTCGCCTTCGGCATCTGTGGCGTCATCGTCAATGCTGAGCCCCAACTTCAACATCCGATGAATCCTGTTCCCAAACGTGCTTGGCTCTTCCAAACTGAACCCTGAAGTCAACAACGCTGTCTCGAACAACAGCAGAACCAAGTCCTTCACGCTCTTATCGTTCTTGTCCACCTCAGCTCTCTTCCTCAACTCCTCCATGATCTGGTTGTCCGGGTTAATCTCCATCGTCTTCTTCGATGACATGTAGCTTGACATGCTGCTGTCCCGCAACGCCTGAGCTTTCATGATTCTCTCCATGTTTGCGGTCCATCCGTACTCACCCGTCACGAGAACGCAAGGAGAGTCCACGATCCTGTCAGACACGACCACCTTCTCGACCTTGTCTCCTAAGATATCCTTGATCGTCTTGCATAACGGCTCAAACCGGGTCTTTTTCTCCTCTTTCTTCTTCTTCTCCTCCTCTGTATCCTCCAACATCAATCCTTCCTTAGTAGCAGACACTAACTTCTTACCATCGTACTCCTTCAATTGGCCTACAGCGTACTCATCAATGGCATCCACCATGTAAAGCACCTCCAATCCCTTTCGTTTCAGCTTCTCCAGGAACGGCGAGTTCTCCACTGCCTTCTTGCTTTCTCCCGTGATGTAATAGATGTCCTTCTGTCCCTCCTTCATCCGAGTAACGTAGTCCTTCAGGCTCGTCATCTCGTCACCGCTCTTCGTTGAGTGGTACCTCAGCAAGTCAGCCAGCTTTGACCTGTTTTGGCTGTCCTCATGTATACCCAACTTCAAGTTCTTCGAAAATGCTTCATAGAACTTCTGGTAATCCTCCTTATTCTCTGCAATCTCCGAGAACATCTCCAAGCACTTCTTCACCAAGTTCTTCCTAATCACCTTCAGAATCTTGCTCTGCTGTAGGGTCTCACGAGAAATATTTAATGGCAAATCTTCCGAGTCTACCACTCCCTTCACGAAGCCTAGGTACTCGGGAACCAACTCCTCACAGTTGTCCATGATGAACACCCTCCTCACATACAGCTTGATGTTGTTCTGTTTCTTCCTCGAATCAAATAGGTCGAAGGGAGCCCTCTTGGGGACAAACAAAACTGACTTGAACTCCAGCTGCCCCTCAACCGAGAAGTGCTTGACAGCCAAATGTTCCTCCCAGTCATTCGTCAAACTCTTGTAGAATGCAGCGTATTCTTCCTTCGTCACATCCTCGGGCTTGCGCATCCAGATAGGCTTCTGTTTGTTTATTAGCCCCCACTCATGAGAAACCTCCTTCACTTTCTTCTTTTTCTTCTCTTTCGATTCATCCACTTCCTCAATTTTTCCTTCCTCCTCCTTCTTGTCCTCTTCGTCTTCGTCATCCGAAACCTCCTTCTCTGTTGTCTTCTCAGTCCAGAGAGAGATGGGGTAGCTTATAAACTCAGAGTGCTTCTTCACCAGGTCCTTCAGCCTCCTCTCTTCAAGATACTCCAACTGGTCCTCCTTCAGGAACAACTTGATGTGCGTTCCACGCCCCAGCTGTTCACCCGATGTATCTCTAGTAATGGTGAAGGACCCTCCGGCCTGAGACTCCCACATATACTGTTCGTCATCATTGTGTTTCGAGGTGACAACCACCTTTTCAGCAACCAGGTATGCAGAATAGAAACCCACACCGAACTGTCCAATCATGCTAACATCAGCTCCTGCAGACAGAGCTTCCATGAACTCCTTGGTTCCAGATCGAGCGATTGTTCCTAAATTGTTGACCATGTCAGCTTTGGTCATTCCAATACCACTGTCAATGATGCTCAAAGTGTTATTGGCCTTATCAGGAACAATGTGAATAAAGAGCTCGGGCTGAGCACCCAACTTGCTTTTATCAGTCAAGGACTCGAAACGAATCTTGTCTAAGGCCTGCGACGCGTAACAAAGCAATCTGTTAGAAAGCACTAAATATATTCCAAGCATCAACTACAAGCCGATGTACTAAATTATTCCATTCACTACAGCATGCGTCAAGATTCGTGATCCACAAATCTAACCACTACATCACCTAACTCCAGCGGTAGACAAAAAAAACATATAGTAGTGGACATATTTCCGCCCGAAAACTTACTAACAAATCCATGATAAAATGCACCAACCAAGAATCGGCGTGCACATGACACAGATAGACTGGCCACTACAATCCCGACAAGAAGACCGCATGGGACTTTCGTCAGCACTAGCACTTACATCAGAAGAATTGCTGATAAGTTCTCGCAGGAAAATCTCCTTGTTGCTGTAGAAGGTGTTGATGATCAAACTCAGCAACTGATTGATTTCCGCCTGAAAGGCAAAGGTCTCGACCTCGGCAGCAGCCATGTCCACGTCCGCCATCTCGTCGTCCTCTATAAAGAAAAATCCACGTACACAATCACCAAATTTTTAATTCTAACAAACCTAACCGGCTCAGAGAACTCGACTCAACTCAGAGCAAGCTATCACCACGAAATCTATCACTCGATCGCAGAAAAACAGAGAGCCTCAAAGTTCCCACAGTGGATCTAGCGGCGGAACTCAAACTAGTGGAGTTGCAACAACTTCGCAATGCAGGATACATCAACTGTGACTATGAGACTTGAATGGCGGTGCATCGGAGGAGGAGAAATTTCATAGCCGAAGGAAGGCTTCGGAGGAAGGCTCTAGAGCCTTCCGCAGACGACTCGAAGCATGCGGGACATCCTTATTTTAATCCGTGCGAACGAAAACGGATGAAATATCATCCGTTCAGTTTCCCATCATTCATTTACATTGAAGCCTAGTCGATCCATCTGTAGGGAGGAAAGAAGTTACGAGAATGTTCTCATTCTTATTTTGCATAGAATTGTCAGATTATGGGGTCAGAATTGGTGAGCAATTCTGTCTTTTTACCTATGTCGCTGATGGTGAAAGTGAAAATGATATTGTTAACCTTTGCATAAGTTTAAATAAAATGAGGAACGAATTTTAGGTTTGAATGGTGCTTTAACTAATTTCACTAATTAAAATTTAAAATTTATGCTTTATTTACTTTTTCTTTGCCATGCATAGATTTTTTTATTGGATATTTTATTCAAAAAAATTCCAAAAATATTTGTTTGAAATCAAATATATCATTTTGGATAATAAATGTCTTCAATTTAAAAAATACCAAGAGTATGTAAATTATTATGGATTCAAATCAATTATACAAATATTCAATATTACTAGGTTTTAAAGTAGTGATGTTAAATAATAAACTAAATGAACCCATGTCATTGTCATGGAAAGTGTGACTCAAATGAAGCTATTTTTGTAAGATATGTTTATGACCCAAAGAATATTTTTCAAACACAAATACAATTCAATACAAGTAGAAAGAAATAAACTACACAATGGAGCTTTTAGCTATAAAGTAAGATAGGTAAATCCATGTTGTTGTCATGGATAATATGCAAAAAAAAAGATAATTAATTTTATTCAAGAAATTACTTGTAAATATGTATGTATATGTATATATATATATATATATATATATATATATAGATATAAATAACAAATTACAATAAAAAATCATAAAAGTATGTTAAGACATTCAAAGATGTACTAAAGTCAATAAATTAATAAATTAAAATATAAAATATAAAATATAAATTACTAATATTTATTCTAAAATTATATGGAGCATTTTGTAAAGCACAGATTGATCAATATTTGCACCTAAGGACATAAACACATGTGCAATATTGTATTGATAGATATTTTCTTAGAACTCCCTTGCTCTTGGATCTTAATCCTCAAATAAGCATCTCAAAAACAAACGCGGAGAAGGTAGAGATATTTTTCATTGACAACAACATTATCCAAATAATGACAACTTCTTTAGAGATGAGACTAAATGTTCCTCAAATCAATGTAATGCGTTACAATGAAGATACAAAACATTCATCCTTTCTATATTATGTATGGCTTCAACACTTTTAACTATTTTAGCTTTTCTTTGTACTTTTTCATGTTCCCTACTCTGTTGTTGAGTAATTGCTCTCCAATTCATTCTTAAGGTTGTATCATTCACAATGACAGAATTTCCACCAGACAATTGGAATAGGCTTATAAGTATCAAAATTGTACCTCCATAAAATTCTAATAAAACCTTATTACTCAAGTATTTTAGCAAAATTATATAGTATATGTAAAATAAAATAAAAAAAATATGTAAAGCTTAATTAGTCAAATTATAATGTCATAGTGCTTTAACAAAAATATTCTACATCTATGCATCCCTATTGATCATAATTATACATATTTTCAAAATAACTTAGTATAACAAAAAGCTCAATTTTTCCAAAATATAATTTATTTTTTCAAATGTTATATTTTAAAAATCAAAATAAATAAATATAATTTATAAATATTTAATTTTTATTTATATAATTTATTTATATATATATATAGATGTTTGTATATATTTTAAAATATAACACATACATATAAAAGCAACTAAAATAAACAAAAATAAACATATGAATAATAAGAATTTACTCAAGATTTGTATTTCAATAAGAATTCACATTTAAGATGCAGCGAAGTGCTCAAATAGAAATAAAATAATAGAAGAATAAAAAAAATATTAAACTTTAATTTTTCATGACTCAAAATTTATAATTTCTATTGAAATTTATAATTTATAAATTATAATTTCTTCTAGAATTAAAAATATTTTAGAAATATAAGTGAAATACTATACAAATATAAGTATTTTTGACTCTAACTTTCTATCACTAGATGCATTTGATTGTAAGATCATCTACGCAAAAAAAAATTAGCATAAAATCCATGTCCTATTACAGATAGTTTGTCTTATTCAAATTTCAAAAAATCTATATTAATCTAAGTAATAGAGGAATTAGTAGTTATAAGAATAAGAATAAGAATAATAAATACAAAAAGAATCCATCCATTCACCAAAGGATGTGAAATTGTAGAAATTACCTCTGTCAAAATACAACTTTGCACTTGAGAAGGTAAATTTCACCTCTCAATTCAAATTATAAGATGGCCTCAATTAAGAATTTCTTATAATTGGTGGAGTAAAGTGGAAGTAGTAAGAATAAGAAAAAAAGAAGAAAAACACAAAAACAAGTGAAACAAGTGCAATCAAGCAACTATACACTATAAAACTAGTTACAGTCTGTTTGTTAGATTTTCATCTAATGAAAAATGAAAGTAAAAAGTAAAAAATATATTTTTATATAGATAATATTTTTATCTTTTCAATGGTATAAGAGTCATGTAAATCCGAGTTATTATGAGTAAATTATAAAGATTTAAAAATAACAAGTGAATAAATAAAAAATTAAATATATTTTTTTTCTCTCTCAAGGATAACTTGCTAAAGAGATCAAGAGTTTAAGCCTCACCAAGGCTCACAAGTAGTATATATAGGTGTCTAAAAGAGGCCACGAGGCCTTAGTCTTATCTTCCTAACTACCTTTAAGGTGCTACAACGCATATGAAACTTGTGCACCTCCCTTCTTATAATGACTATACTATCTATTGATCCTCCTATTTTCTACTAATAGATCTAATTTTTTTGGATTTTTTATTTCATCATGGTGTTTGAAACCATCCAATTATCCTAGGAACTTTTTTTTGCCCTCAAATCTTGCTCCATTTCTTCATAATAGCTTCCAAAGTAATAAAACTCATTTTTTTCAAAATCTTAAAAATTATTCTAAAAATTCTAAATAAATTCTAAATAAATTTAAAATTTTCTTATAATAGTTTTATAATATTATTATTATTTTGAAGCTATATTTTCCTATCTTAAAAAAATTATAGTAAAAAAAATCAATTTAAATCTAATATAAATCCTATTTTTTATATAAATAATTAAAAAGACATGAGATTCTTTTTCATGCTTCTTCTAACTACTAACTAGAATTTATATTTTTTTATAAGTAATACATATAAATAGACGTCCAATATAAATATTTATCTTCATAAATAATCTTTAATAATAAATAATAAATAAAAATACTAAATAAACTAAGATAATTACTAAGAGACTTATTAAAATTCTATTTCTACAACTAATATTTTTATTTTTATTTTTATTTTTCTAAGGATTTCTATACTAATTACCATGTATTATAATTTTAAGCTCTCTAAATATATATTTTTATCCTAAAAAAAATAGTGAGTTGATTTAATGACTCACAACACCAAATTCAAATTGGTGGTCCGGCTCTCAACAATAGAAACACAATTCCTTTTCTACCAATATTTGTTGTCTTTGTAGTGTGAGTGATCCTTGTAAGGTATCAATTTCCATTGGTATTGGTTGTTGTATCATAGTATTGGATAGCAACATAAGACTTTACACTATAGATTATTGGTTGAGTAGAGAGAATTTGCCTTTAAAAAGTATTGAGCTTCTAGCTATCACTAGTTACTTAATCAAGTCTTAAGATAAAAAAGCAACAAATGTGTATATGTAAATTTGTTCCTATAGGGATAATTGCATCATTCTATAAGACCTAAGTACTAAAAAATACTCAAAATGTGATAAAAATATTCTAAATCCTTATATATCTTTAAGGTGATTTTTTTTTGAATTTCAATAGATCATATCTCACAATTGGATTGTCCAAAAAAACTAAAATTTATATGAAGTATTGATATACTTTAAACAATTACTACAACAAATTTCAACTCTAAATTTCTTATGGATCTTGAGATATTGCTAAAATCCTAATAATACCTTTAAATCCTTGTGTATATGCATCTATGTGCAATTTTCTTCATATCTCATAAATTAAGTGCTCTAATATCATAAAATTTTGATATATAGCTTCTTATTCTAATGACATACATCTTTGAAAGTTTTGAGCCAAAAATTTATTCAATAATTCAAGATATGGCTCCAACCATTACTATCAACAAAACGACTTAGTTATTGCCTTTGAATTATATGTGATTTCTTCAATGCTTTACAACTCCTTCATACAAATTCCAAATACAGCAATTTCTTTATAAAAGACACAAGTCTTAAAATCATTTTTTTGATTGTACCTCTCAATTTCAAAAAGCTATTTTATAATTCCTTGTATCTTCAAAAGTGCAACAATATGTCTTAAAAAGTCACCTTAATTTCAAACGGCTATAATTTCATCGTCCTAACTCCAAATCCTTTAAAATTTATATAAAAATTGTAGCCAAAATCCTAAACCTTACAATCTTTGCTTTTGATTCTTGAATTCTCCTTTTGGAATTACCAAAATCCTTGTTATGGTTGCAGATAGCCTCTTCAGAGCCTATTGGGCATGGCTTTTGATTAATAGAGATGAAGATCCTCACATGTTCCCTTCATCCATCTATACCTTGCTTTCATCCTTCTAAATAAGCTTCTTAGAGGTTTAAAAATTATCTTGGAGTTCTAGTCTTTTTTTAAAATTTTATAATAATTATACAAATCTTATATAATTTAAATACTATAATCAAAATAGATGAATTTTTAAATAAACTTGCTTACATCAACTTTCTTTAAATTAACCTATTAACTAATTTAATATATATATCAATAATTATAAATATATTATATATTTTAGTTGATTTTTATATACCATAAATAATAATAGTACAACAT